TATTATTATTCATTATTTATTATTTTTCCTTATTTTTTTATATTTTTTTATTTATCATTCATTAATTATTATCTATTATTTATGCATTTTTTAATTTTTCAATTTTTTAATTTTTATTTTTTATTTTTCAGTTTATATTTTTATGTTAAGTCCCTCCAGACCTACCTTTTATGATTAGGGAGCAAACCTCCTGTTTCTATACGTACCATTGTAGTCCTTATAGCAGCCATTAATCCCTTACTATCTACTAGCGTAGTTAAACTAGCTTGTATATATTCTCTCTTTTATTCTGTCAAGTAATTTTTATTTGTTAGTTAGAGAAAGAATCATTTCTCCTATTCCACCAACTATTATTTCCTATTCTTATTTTTATTTTATATTCTTCAAGATGTTTGTTCTCATAGCCTCTGCATATTAGCTGTATTTGTCATTTGAAGATTTGACACACAAGCTCCTGACTCCAACGCTTGTTTTTTATTGGGTGTCTTGACACTTATCTGTTATTTTCCCTATGCACACTATTTCTGCACACACACACATTCTTCCTATCCTTTCACACACTTCTTTTCTCCTCTGTCTCTTTTTCCATTCTCATTTTTCTTTCCCTTTTTCTAACACCCAGAGAACTCAGTGAGAACATTGTATATTCAGTGCTTCTCTGAATATCTACCTGAATTTATGTTTAGATTCTCTTGCTAATCCAAATTTTTTTTTTCTTTTTCTTAATCCAAAATTTTATCCCTAATCATAATATTTATCGTTTGGTGATACATTGATATATCTATTTCCCTATTTAGAATAATAGAATGTTCCTTACGTTGGGAGTAATTTACTTTGGACACAATAGTATTAAGATATTAATATTCTGCTGCTGTAAATATCAATTTAATCTTTAATTTAATTTTATTTAATTGAATCTCTTGGTTTATATCTAGGCAGTTACTATTTAACACAGTGCATGTACAATGTTCCTGTGTACTTTGATATTATTTATAACTCCCTAGATATCTGTGGTTATATATGATATATGACATACTAGAAATATGCCTCCTAGTGGTACCTAATCTGGTCCTTATTAGAATATAATATGCTCAATATAATATAATATGCTCAATAATATGTATTCAATATGCCCATGATTTGCACAATTATTTTAATATTTCTATTTACATTTTATATATTTCATATCTGGGTTATGGTCACTTATTGATATGGTTTTTGTAGTGCTTCACATCACTTAACAGTTTTTCACACAATACTTTTTACACTATATTTTTGTTGCATGCACACCGTATCACTCCACTTATATAACGATTATCTATCAATTCTGACCACCAACAGGATGCTATAAGAGAACACATATCACTATAATGGATAACCATTTAAATAACAAACACGTTCACATCTGTACACTGAATTGTATTAGACTGACTTTGTAATATGTATATCGGTGTGACGAGACCAATCTCGCCACATTGCATTGGAGAAGCCTGGTTGCTCGCCTGCTGCCTTTGGACTATGGCCCCCTGTTAAAAGACATCTTTTTTACCTGCAGAAAAGCTTCATTCGTGCTTTTCTGCCTGGAGTTCGGTAGATTTGTTTGAATGTGTTATACCCCAGATAGGAATCCCATGGAGCCCATTCGTATGAAACTGACTGTAAAGATTTTGGCTCCATGGCGATTAAACTGTATTTGTGTGGTCCGAGCGCCATTCACTTAATAATGTGCGCTCAGACCTGAGCTATCTGGGGATATGTGAAATGTCTGTGTGTTATGTGTAAAATGTGACTTTATGTATTTTAAAGTGTTTTGTGTCTTTTGCAACCATGTGCTTAATGGAGTCTTGTGTCTGTCCTGGGAGATAATTGAATTACTTATCTCCAGGATAGAAGACTCTGAAACTGGTTTGGGCCAGAAAGCCATGCTTCATTTAGTCACAAAGGACTTTTTACTAACTTTTGAACCCCTTGTCTGATTTGTGCCATTTTTGAATATGTTGTTCCCCTGAATGGATTGATTGTGAATATGTAATTTTATGTGAATGTAATGTATGGTTTTAGAGTTATGAAAGTTGGGTAGAAAGTATGTTTTAACTGTATGTGTAATTGAGTTTCCTCTCAGGATAAGGGGAGGGAATATGTGGGATGTAACTGTGATGTGTTTGGTTGTTTTATACCTCCCTGTGGGCGGTCCTGTATTTGCAAGACTGTAATAAAAACCAGGCTGGGTGTGCCAGCACCTCAGACCACTGCTTGACCCTCAACACGGAGCCTTGTCTCGTTCTTGGGGGGATTCACTGTATGCTGTTAGAGACTGATTGCCAGGAGTGTAAGCTGTTCGTCTGCTTTTCCTGTTCGTCTGCTAGCAGCTATTTGGGAGGTTCCAGTTCGGGAGTTGAAGTGCTATTTTGTATCCAGTTCGTGAGTTTTGGTGTTCTGCAGTAGCTGTGCCTGGATCTCTGGAAAGGGGGCCGATCGCCTAAACGGTTTTTACCCCTGGTGTGCAAAACGGTCTGTTACAATCGGTTTCCTAGAAACTATGTTCACCGCGCTCACGTTACTACGTTCAGTCACATGATGCACGTCTTTCACATCCGGGTTCGGATGGAAGGAATGAGGGAGATTATCACAATTGGTGTGTACATTTATTTTTTCCTATATATGCATTAACAGTATGTTTAAACATCGATCTTGAGAAAGACCCGAATGGGTTGAAACGTCGATCAAATGGATGTTAATTATTTGATGAATTAAATACCACTTTTTTTCTACAAAGACCGCAGAGTGCATCTCTACTTTCATATACTGTATATACTTTCAGCATGGGATTGTACCAGGACATTTATAACAACAGCATATTGATTGAAAGGGTGAGTGCCAGGACTCCTATACATATAAATATACATATATATATATATATATATATATATATAGAAAGACAAATAGGATAGCACTCACAGGACTATGTAAGAAAAATAAAACTTAACTTTTAATAGCTTAGTCCAAAAATCAACGTTTCAGTCTGTTAATACCAGACTTTCATCAGGATTATCCTGATGAAAGTCTGGTATTAACAGACTGAAACGTTGATTTTTGGACTAAGCTATTAAAAGTTAAGTTTTATTTTTCTTACATAGTCCTGTGAGTGCTATCCTATTTGTCTTTCTATATTGTGCTGGACAAGCACCGGGCATTGGAATTTCTTTGCAATTGATGGAGTGCAGGATCTCTTTTTTTCTTTTTTTTTCTTTTATATATATATATATATATATATATATATATATACACACAATAGAGCACTCACTATCCTCCTATTGCTTTTCCAAATGGAATAAAGTAATGCCTTGGTGTACCACGCTGAAACAAATATATATATACAAATATTTCAGCAAAAAAAAGTAGGCACTCACAGGTCCTGTTTAATGAAAAAAAAAAAAAAAGCAAATGTATTAGTGTAGCATCAACATTTTGGATCTGTTCTTGATCCTTTCTCTTGAATTATTATTTGTGCAATAATGATTTGTCTTTCTCTTCTCACAATTAGGGGGACTGCCTAACAGCTCAGACAGTCCCCCTGGAGGCAGATCCAGAGGCAGCTATTGCAGCCACGTGATCAATCTTTGATAGGGATCACATGGCCTGTGGGGGCCTGATTTTCCATGGGAGGACTGCCCTAGCTGTCAGGAACTCCTACCAAAGCCGGTTGATGGGAAAGTAAGGATGCCTGGCACTCCAGGGCTCAATGCCATTACGGTGTTCTATGCGGCTGCAACGACTTTAAAGCCCATTGAATGCACTGTAATGGCGCTAAGGGGGTAAATTAATCATAGATTAAGGTAAGTGGCTGAAGGGGTTTTAACCCCTTCAGCACCACGGGATGGGGACCCTGCGGGTGGAGGCACCCTCAGGACACTATAGTGTCAGGGAAACCGCTTTGTTTTCCTGACACTGTTGTGATCCTTTATGGGGAGGTTGTTAGGGGGTTCGAGGTAAAGGCAATTTGGGGGGAGTATGGCATGTTCTCTCCCCTCATTGTTTAATAATTTTGCGGTCCACCTGCCACCCATTGGTGAAGGCTTGGAGGATGGGCACTAGGTCCACCATGTATGTTGTACTTAGAGTCCTTACCTGCTGCTAATGGGTGAGGGCTGCGTTGGGGCCATTATCAGTTACTTTGTCCTCCTAACCCACTGATCATAAGTGGGGGAAGTGGAGAGTTTATGATCCTCTCCATTTTATTATATTAAATAGCATCAGTTTGGGTATGGGATAACTATATCCCATTTCTCCCTTATTTTAGAGGCCTTAATCCCCTCTGTGCTCCATGCCCAGTCACTAGTTTCAAACATTTAGTTAATATGACCCCATCTGCCACATGACAGAAGAGGGCATAGGGATGTTTAAAACCTCCCTTATAGTAATAAAGGGTTTCAGTTGAGAGGTTTTTTGTTTTGTTTTTTTTAACTATTTGCCTGCTAGCTGCCACTGGGTAAATAGTATTTAAAACGATCACATAGATAAAGAAAGTGAACGATAATTTGTGGCATGTGCATTTGCTCTCAAATTTTAGTAGAACTGGTGCTTTGTCAATCTTCCAGATCCTTTTTATAGTATTCAGGCGTGAAAGCACTGATTCTAAAAGGAACGCTGAATGCAACTAGGCGATCCAGGAATGCTCAACCCAGCCGAATTCTGACTGGCATTCACTTTAGCTAATATGAGAATTGCCATTCTGGTCATAATTTGGTCATTTTCAAAATCTGGTGTTTCGTAAATAACCCTGCAAATTTTTCTAGAACTTTGTAATTCTCTGATTGTATCATTTTATTTTTATCTTCTTCTGAATGAGACATCAGTACACTTTATACATCAGTCAAATACCCCGATTTGAGCACTTACTAGGAATTTAAACCTTTTTGTATTTCAGGTTTTCTTTTACAGTACAAAACATGAATGGAACTAGTTTGTGCTCTGCAGTAACACCATCTGACATCACTGTGTCTCTAACTGCACAGTAATATGTGGCAGCATCTTTAGGCTCTGCCTGGGTCTTCTTCAACTCTGTGGACCTGTCATTAGAGTTAAATGTGAACAGTAGTGCACCAGCCGCTTTAGTGCCATCAAATCCGCTCTCAAGAATCTGCAATCCTTTATCCAGGGGCTTTTTATACCAGAACATTGTGTCTTTGCTAGTAGCATTTTGATAACAGTAGATACTGAATGGATCTCCTTCGTTCACACTGATCTGACGAGGCTGAAAAACCTGGCAATGGGAAAATCCTAAAACTGAGGGAAGGAGATGAAAATAAAATCTGTGTGTCCATTATATGGATTTACTCGCACATATTTCAATATGTTATAAAATGTATTGATAAATAAAAATGATTATATGTGAGTTTAAAGATATATTGCATGAGTCATATGTTAGAACTTATTCAGTTACAGTAGCTATCAGCAATATGGAAAATGCAATTCCCACCATTAATATATATGCAGCACATCTCCTTTATATCATGCATTAAATTTTAAAGCAAAACTAAATAAAGTCTGCATATAATATAGTGGGCAAATTACCAAGGAAGAATGGAGTGAAAAAAGTCCCCGTCATTGCTGGTGAGAAGTCTTCCCACTTCTGTATGGTTCTCAATGTTTGATTTATGAGGGTTGTGCTATATATACCTTGCTTCCTGTTATTTGCTCTCTGGGGAGAGATATTATACAACCTTCTTACATCAGAAACATACAGCAATAATGTCATGCTGAGCTCTCGTCCAAACATGGGACCATGTAAAGTTTATATTAGTAATAAAAATTGAAATGGAAGTTTTAAATGTGGTTCCATCACAAGTGAATGAGTATACCCAAGGCAATCTGCTTTAAACATAAATATAGACAGAGCATACTCAATTAAACACATCCACGAGATTATAATTTTGCCTTTATTATGGGGCTAATCAAGCAAGCTATAAAAGTGATTCTGAGTTTCAAAATTCTTGAATAATATATTGTTTTTTATTAAAGATTAAGACGCAGATTTGAGAATAAATGTAGCCAGATGAGAAAGAAAGAAAATAGAGTATGAGATAAAGAAAAAAATTCAAATGAGAGTGAGCTCAAATGTCCATAAGGTGTCAATACATTAAAGGGACAGTATAGGCACTATAGGTTGTCTGGGCGCAATGCACAATGCCCCTGTCCCAGCCCTGTTTTTGAGAAACTGCAATGTTTACATTGCAGGATTAAGGCAACCTCTACTAGTAGTCCACTTTGAAAAAGCCTGTTCCAGGTGAAACGCGTTAGTGTTTTATAATTTCTTTTATACTTGATTTTATATTTTTATTATCTCCAAATAAAGTCAATTGTTTTACACCCCCTTGGAGACTCCAGATCTATCTTTGCAGCTTTTGCAGATATCCTTGGTGGGGATTATACCACCTAAACCATTTGAGATTGAGCAATACCTGTATTTGCTCTCTGTTTGTGAGTATATCTCATTTTTTCTTTTTATCCTTTTCAACACATACAGTGAGCACTATTTTCTGTTCTTATTTCTTCTCCTATACATTGAGGGCATCTGACTGCCCATCTGTGGTACAACAACTAAAAGCCTGGGATCAACACCTACTAACAAGCACAAGGATCCACCACCATATCCACAGACGGGGATTGTTCCATCCATGCGTGAAAATCTGGAACTGAACATAAGTTTCAGAATATGGTAAGTGCATTTTGTTCTTTCATATTTTACCAGGATTTATAACATACTACACTATATTATGTTCTCTCTGTTTATTTCATATACTACTTTGGATCTGAGAATAACTCTACAGGTGCTGTCTCCCTGCACCCTTCTCTGCATAGTTGACTTGGAGAATGTTTCCAGTTTGGCTATTTGTCAGAAT